CGTGTGTGTGTGTGTGTGTGTGTGTGTGTGTGTGTGTGTGTGTGTGTGTGTGTGTGTGTGTGCTCTGTTAACCCCCCCTCCTATTGAGCGTCCCACACCTGTATGTGTGTGAGAACAGCAGAGTCAGTGTTCAGAAAGACGAGGAGGATAATTTACTGTGACTTATCGGAGGGAGACGGAGAAATAAAAAGGATGTGAGGATGAGGAAGGTGATGAAGATGGAGACAGTGAGGGAAGGATGTAGCCTAAACACCAACAATGAACCACACACTACAGTTTTAAAAGCAGAAAGAAATACACACAGTTAATCTCACACTGACTATTTTAGGTTCACCTACTGAATTAAAAAAAGAACTAATGAAGCAAAGAAAGTGAAAACCATAAAGCAGATTCAGGCAGTAGGCGTATAGACTCACACTTAGGTATCAGCATACAGAACAGTACATCTTACAGAGAACAAATACAATCCTTTAACCACCCCAGTTTTTAGAAATGTGACTGTAATAAGATGTATTTATCACCGTAAGGGAATACAGTCACCTTTCTGTATCCTGATTACCGTTCAATCAATCAATCAATGTTTATTTATATAGCCCAATATCACAAATGTTACATTTGTCTCAGTGGACTTCACAGTTTTTACGGAATATCAGTATGACAATACGACTCTGTCCTTTGACCCTCACATCGTACAATGAAACACTTCCAGAGAAAACCCACAGTTTAAAGGGGAACATGGGAGAAACGTGTTTCATTGTACGATGTGAGGGTCAAAGGACAGAGTCGTATTGTCATACTGATATNCAAGGTGGATAGAACGGCATACGCAACGCTCTGGGGGGTCCAAAGGCTCCGTGTGTGCGCCCTATACGATAATTTTCTGATAATGATGACGCAATAGCCCCACCTCTCCCCACCTCTGCTGCTCATCCCCGCGTCAAAGTAAACTGCACACTGAATTCAGATTATTTATCTTTCTCTCGATATGGAGAAGACCTTTGACCGGCACTTTTATAATTTTGTCCGGAAGATTTAAACTTTAATACACGTTGACTGGCGAAAAACTCTGCCCGGTTCCTTCGGCCCCCACCACGGAGAATAAACAGAAGGGCAACCATGACAACCATGCTTCTTCGCTGCATTTGTGGAGGAAGTTACAGCGCCACGTATAGGCTCCTGCATACAGTATGTACTGCAGCTTCTCCAGCGGTTGGAGCTAAACGGAGCTGTCTCGTGTGGACAGACCAAGCGGCAAACTCTCATTTCATCAAATCCCCCTCCTCGACTCCTCGACTCCTCGGTCCTCCGGTAGTGACCCGGAAATGAATTTCAGCGCGCCATGTTGAAAGACATCTCA